GATTGCACAATACAAAGTCAATATACAAAAACAACTTTTTATATATTTTAATGGAAAATCAAAAATTAAAATTAAAAAATAGCATTTACAATAGCATCAAAAATATGTAATACCTAGGGATAAATTTGACAAAAGATGGAAAGACTTGTACGCTGAAAGCTACAAAACATTGCTGAGGGAAATTAAAGAAGACTCAACTGAATAGATATATCATGTTCATGGATTAGAAGACTCAATATTGTTAAGAAGTCTGTCACTTCCAAATTAGTCTATAGATCAAAGCAATATCTATCATTAGTCTCGTATGCTTTTTTGTAGAAATTGACAAGCTGATTCTAAAACGTATGTGAAAATGCAAAGGACTAAAATAGTCAAATAAATTTTGAAAAAGATGAACAAAGTTGGAGGACTTAGTACCTGATTTTTAAGACTAATTACCTGATTTTTAAGACTAATTATGAAGCAACAGTAATCAAGATAGTGTGGTATTGGGGTAAAGATAGACATTTGGATCAATGGAACAGAACAGAGTCAAGAAATAGACCCACATATATATGGTGGAATGATTTTCAACAAAGGTATCAAGGCAATTCATGGGAGAAAGGATGATGTCTTCAACAAATGGTACTGCAACAATTGGATTGCATATGCCAAAAAAAAAAAAAAAGAAAAAAAGAAACTTGACCCTTACCTCATATCACATATAAAAATTAACTTGAAATGGATTTTAAAGTTAAATGTAACAGTGAAAACTATAAAAATCCTAGAAGAAAACATAGGAGAATATTTTTGTGACCCTGGGTTTGGCAAAGGTGTTTTATTTTATTTTATTTTATTTTATTTTATTTTTTTTTAAAGATTTTATTTATTTTATTTTTTCCCCCCAAAGCCCCAGTAGATAGTTGTATGTCATAGCTGCACATCCTTCTAGTTGCTGTATGTGGGACTCGGCCTCAGGATGAACGGAGAAGTGGTGCCTCGATGCGCACCCGGGATCCGAACCCGGGCCACCAGCATCGCAGCGCGCGCACTCAACCACCAAGCCACAGGGCCGGCCCAAAGCAAAGGTGTTTTAAATAGGACACAAAAAGCACAAACTATAAAAATAAAAAAATGAATAAATTGAACTTCATAAAATTAAAACTTTAGTTCTTCAAAAGGCGCTATTACTAAAATGGAAAGGTAAGCCACAGACAGGAAAAAAATGTTTGCAAGATAGATAGCCAACAAAGAATTTGTATTTAGACTATATAAAGAACTCTTAAAACTCAATAATGAGACAAACGACCCAACAAAAATGGGCAAAAGATTTGAACAGACACTTCACCAAAGAAAATATAGATGGAAAAGAAGCATATGAAAATATATTCAACAGCGTTAGTCATTAGAGAAATGCAAAATAAAACCACAATGAGACAACTACTACACACCTAACAGAACCGCTGAAATTACTAAGTGTTGGTGAGGATGTAGAACAGCTGGAACTCCTGTCGACTGCTGGCAGGAATGTTGAAGAAGTTAAGCATACATCTACCCATGATCCAGTCATTCTACTCCTAGATGTTTACTCAAGAAAAATAAAAGTATATGTGTACACGAAGACTTGTACATGAACGTTCATAGCTGCTTTATTTGTGATAGCCCAAAACTGGAAACAACTCAAATCCCACCATCAGGTGAATGGGTAAACAAATTGTGGTATATCCATGTAATGAAATACTACTCCACAATAAAAAGGAATAAACTATTGACATACACACGAACGTGGATGAATCAAAATAATTATGATGAATGAAAGAAGCCAGACCAAAAAGGATACATTCTATATGATTCCATTTTTATAAAATTCTAGAAAATGCAAAGTAATGTATCTTGACAGATAGAAGATTAATGGTTATTTGTGGCCAGAGGGAGTGGGGAAGAATGAACTAGAAAGGGGCACGAGGAAACTTCGAGAGTAATTCATAAGTTCATTATCTTGATTGAGGTCATGGTTTCATGGAAGCATACATATGTCAAAACTCATCAAATTGTTCATCTTAAATACGTGCAGTTTGTTTTTTGTCAATTGTATCTCAATAAAACTAAAAACAAGTTGGAGGAACTGTATTATGAAAAAATGTTAATGTCTTGAAACACAAGGAAAGGCTATTGAATAGAACACTTTGTGATGATGAAAATGTTCTATATCTGCACCTTACGATATACTAGTCAGAAGTTGCTATGGCTATTGAGCACTTGAAGTATGGCCAGTGCAACTGAGGAACTGAATTCTTAATTTTATTTAATTTTAATAATTTTAATTTAAATAGCCACATTAGACAGCATGGTTCCAGATTAAAGGAGGCTAAGCATATATGAAAACTAAATATAGTCTCTGACCACCCCACACTGGATCCTGTACTGGAGGGTGAAAAATGCTATAAAGAACGTTATTAGATCAATTGACAAGACTAGAATATGGATAGTAGATTAAATAAAAGTATTGTATCAATGTAAATTTATGAAGGTTATAGCTACACTGTGGTTATACAGATGGTTCCCAACTTACGATGATTTGACTTACGACTTTTCAACTTTATGTTGGTGTGAAAGTGATATACATTCAGTAGGAACTGTACTTTGAATTTTGAATTTTGATCTCTTTCCAGGCTAGGGATATGTGGTAGGATACTCTCTTGTGATGCTGTGCAGCAGCAGCGAGCCCCAGCCCCCAGTCAGCCACATGATCAGGAGGGTAAACAACTGATATACTAACAACCATTCTGTGTCCATACAACCATTCTGTTTTTCTGATTTTGCCCAGCTGTAAGCTAATGTAAGTGTTCTGAGCACGTCTAAGGTAGTCTAGGCTAAGCTATGATGTTCGGTAGGTTAGGTGTATTAAATGCAATTTTTTTTTTTTTTGGTGAGGAAGATCAGCCCTGAGCTAACATCGTGCTAATTCTCCTGTTTTTGCTGAGGAAGACCGGCTCTGAGCTAACATCTATTGCCAG